CTTTTTTAATCTTTTTCAAAATGTCTTTCTCACTTTTTTTTCAATGTCACATGCTGTTTTTATTTTAATTATGTGAAGCACTTTGAAATGCCTTGCTGCTGAAATGTGCTATACCAATAAAATCTGATTGATTGATTGATCCACAGTAGCAGCCAACTCTTACATTAGCATCCGCAGTGGCTGCTAATGCTAATGTTAGCATCCTCTTCTCTAAAGAAGCTCTATGAATAATCAGGGTTTCCTGAAAATTTGGAAAGATGAATGGATATAAAAACCACTTTGCTGCACCCTGATGAAGAAACTAAAGATTAAAACAGATTAAAAACTGGAAATATGTTTGTTGTTCAGGTCAAATATCTGTTTATTCAGTAATTTAGCAGCAGGGGCTTTTGAATTGAAAATGTTGTGGATTTTGCTGATTTGTGTTTAATTGCAGGTCAACTAGTTTAAAGAAATGCAGAATAAATGTTAATTTCTCATAATAGAACCATGTAACAGTAACTGGCAGGGAAGCATTTAAAGGACGGACGTGTTTGACAGGAATATCCCTTTAAGAAACCAGAGCTGTTCTGTCTCCTGACCGCCACTTCATTCATCCTCCTGAAGTGAATCACAGCGTAATGACAGACATGGCCTCTGGGGGCAGCACGTCCCCCACTGCTGCTGCGCCTCGGCTCCTCCTGCTGCAGACCTGTGGAGGTTAAAGGTCACCTTCCTCAGCTCATGAAGCATCAGCAGCGACTCGGGGCGCTGACATGTTGTGCAGGATCACGGCTCGCCGCCCTGTCCTGTAATCTGACTTCCTGGCTCCGAACGCAGCAGGACTGTTTGCCTGATGAGCAGAAATTACTCGCAGATGTGAAACACGCTTACTCATTTCTACCAAATCATGGAAATTATATGTTCTCAAGGTAAACATGGCTCTGAAGCGGGATGGAAAAGTCAACGCTCTGGGTGAGTCAGCACATAAACATCTTCCAGGCGGCTGCAGAGCTCACCTCCCTACCTCTAAATCATCCACCGCTGCACTCACAGCTTCACGTTTCACCGCTTGGGGTTACTGTCACAGGGTTTTTTTTCAGCTCCCCTTTCTGTTCCTGCCTCACTTCCTGTTTTATTTTGAAAGTCTGGTTCTTGTATTCATCGTTTCAAATGTGAAATTTTCAACTTGCATGTTTGAAAAGTGAGCTGGAGCGATTCCTGAAATCTGATTTAGGAAGTCACATCTCTCACCATCAATAAGCTCAAAATCCAATATGGCTGCCACTCAGACAGTGAAAGCTGCAGCAGTAAACCGTTTTGTACTTCGGATGTTTCATTTGTGTTTATTTCACTCAACAAATAGATGTGAAACTGATTCATCCATCCAGAGCGATCTGGTTGGACTATGGTACTGAGCAAACCAACGCATAAAGTTACCCCCCTGCCAGAGACCCCCCAGGGCCTGGGGCCCGGGGCCCCACCAGGATCCAGCTGAAGCCCTGTTCCTCCTGATGGTCCAATCGACCCGGTTCTACTGGAACCAGAACTCCATCATCTGCTCCACCTCCAGCTGCTGTGGTTCTGAGTCAAATCAACCTGTTCCCCTCCTGGCCTGTGGGGGCGCTGCACCAAGAACCACTGAAGGAAACGACACAAAAACCTTTGAAGTTCTTTTAAGGTTCTTTTAAACTTCCTTCTTCACCAGATGGAAACAAGATGGAGGATTTTAGCGGTTGGAGGATTTCTCTTTAGGCTAAAGACCAGGAGCCATTTCTGCTGCTAGTGCTAGGCTAACACGTTAGCTTCGGTTGTATTTACCCAGAATGCCCTGCGCTGTAGTCCACTTCCTGCTTTTGGAGTGGTTTTGGAGGTCAGAGGTCAAGTAGCGTTACTCTGAAACTTCCTGTTTTTGTGTTGATCTGGTTCTTCTCCATGTTTGGACCACGACGCGTCATCGTTTCCATCTCAGCGCCATGTTGAGATGGAAACAACATGGCGTTTCGAGCTGCTGTGGCGTCGCCATGGCTGCCGGCTAATAGATGCAGGCTGTCCGTTAAAGAGCCTTCAATGGCGGCTATTGTTCAGGAACATTGGTGAGTCAGAAAGTAAGCCGAGGAGTGGGGGGCGGCTCTGTGTGGCTGCAGCTGGCAGAACCAGAGGGAGATGTGATGCATCAGGAGCTGGAGAGACTTCCTGACTCTGAACCTGAACAGGAGCCAGACGGACGGTTATGGCCAACGCTGGTACGAACTGTATTTCAGTTACAATGCGCTTTATTGTTGTTAAATCAGAGAAGAAGTGTTCCTGTGTGAGTCGCAGTGGGCGAGGCGAAGGTGTGGTCGCTTGTTTCCATGTAGGAAGAGGAGCAGCAGCCTTCGTCGGCCGGCCATGGGAAAAAACAAGCGAGGGAACGGACCGGTTTCCAAACCAGAGCGGTTCTGGAAATATGTGTTCACCACGTGACGGGCCGCAGAGCCGAGCCGTTTCCCCCGAAGAGCCTCGTTAAAAGCAAAATCCGCTGCAGAGCCCGGCTCAGTGGCAACAGACTGACGATCCCTCACCCAGAAACATCTGAGGAACCACAAGTTTACATACACCCTGTGTTCGCTGTGTTCAATCAGAACCAAACTTCTCTGGCTTCAGATTATTTCCATTCACTCAAAGTCAGAAAAATCAGCAAGAACATTTTCAGTTTAGTTTCTCTGAATTCAGAATTAGGTCAGGGATGATTGTCTTAAACTGTCTGATTTGGGTCAGATGTTCTGGGTTTCCTCCTGACGTTCCTCCCTGTAGTTTGCTGGAGTTCTGGTCCATTCCTCCTGACAGAGCCAGTAGAACCGGGTCAGGTTTGTAGAACCTCTGGATGTTGAGCTTGTCGTCCTTCTGGAGTTTTAACTTCCTCATTATTTCTTCAGATGTTGCTTCAGTATTTCCACATAATCTTCTTTCCTCTGGATTCCATCTAGATTCTGAAGCGCACCAGTTCCTCCTGCAGTAAAACAACCCCGCAGCATCATGCTGCCACCACCACACTTCAGTTAGGATGGTCCGATCATCTTCCAGATGTATGGACAGTTATTATGTCCAAAATGTTCCACTGGCTTCTCCTTCGCTTTCAGGACCGATTCTCTGGATGAAGACTCCGTCTCTGGCTTCGGTTCCAGGTCAGTCTGGACGGTTTGGACCAGAACCGTCCTTCCTGAGCAGGACCTGTTGGACGTTCGCATCATGTCTCATGGTTGAACAGATGAACCTGCTGCAGCTGCACCAATGCTAGCTGGGATTTAGGATCCTGTGGCTCCTGTGGGGTTTAGGGTACCCTTACAGCTAGGGTTAGAGTACCCTAAATCTGCAGGCTGACGTCCCTGACAATAAGCTGATGACATCACACAGTTCAGGTTGGGCTGAACAGAACCGCAGGAGGAACAAACAACCTCTGCCCGAGTTTTGATGTTTTTATTTAACCCCTGCCAGCATTTCTGAGGTTTTCTGCAGAGTTTGGTTCTTCTCTTTATGACTGAGTGTGTCGATGTTGGAGCGTCACGTTGGGCCCGGCGGGCTGGAAACGGGTCTAGGTACGGAGCGGCCCGTCAGAACCGGACTGCGGCGTGTTGCTCAGCGGAGGGAAATCAAAGGAAACGGGATCGCTGGAACGATCCGCAGCTGGCAAACAGCTTTTACAGGCCAACGTTTCTCCGTCCTGCTGCTGAGATCATCTGCTCCTCATTTCTGATTCCAACAAATAAAACTGGAATGTTTTACCAGAAAGAGGAAAACTAAGAACACCCCATGGTAACCTCTAACCTCAGCCCGGCAGCCATCTTGTTTCTGGACAGAACAGACTCTGAGCCTACTGGTTCAGGGTCATGACCTTTGACCTGTAGAGACTGAGCTGGAGCTCTGAGCTGAACCTGATCAGACGTCCAACATCTTGGGAATAATTTTTACTTTTATCTTTTAATTTGTGTTTTTCAAATGTATGCATTTTATTAAATTATATTATTTTCATTTTAAAATTATTTTAATTTAAGCAAAAACCATTTAAAAAAATTTTTTTTTAAGATTTATTTTAATTATTTTATTTATTTAACTATTATCTTAAGGACAAGGACTTTGTGTAGTCTTGAGGTGACCTTTGACCCTTCCCAGCAGTGTCTCTGTCCTGGCGTTGTGCTAACAGGCTGGAGCCTCCATGTTCCTCTGGACCACCTGCACTGATGGACATGTCGGATCATCCAGGTGGATCCGGAGCCATTTGGGTTCTGCTGGTCCTGCTGGTTCTGCTGGTTCTGCTGGTCCTGGTGGTCCTGCTGGTTCTGCTGGTCCTGCTGGTCCTGCTGGTCCTGCTGGTCCTGGTGGTCCTGGTGGTCCTGCTGGTCCTGCTGGTCCTGCTGGTCCTGCTGGTCCTGCTGGTATAAACGCCGTCTGTGTTCTGCCTCCTACACGTGTAATGACCACATTTTCAGTGTTTATCTGTAAAGATCCTCAGAAGTGGAACTGCTGGCTTTGATCAGGACGATGAAGGAGGAACAAATAAATCGGCGTTCGGACCACAAACTGCCTCCAAGCAGCCGATGAAGGAGAAACAGAAACAGCTTCCAGAGTTCATCCCTGGAGAGGAAACAGGCTGTAAAAATAGTTTCTGCTCGTTTCAGGGAATGTCCCATAAAACGTCCGGCTGGTTCTGACCCAATGAACCCAGAGAAGATCTGCTGGGGCTTCAGCACCTTCAGGACCGCTAACGGAGGAAGCAATCAGCCGTTGCTCTGGAAACCAGGTGACCCAGACGGGGAACACCTGAGCGGAGGCTTTAGCTCCTTCGCTGATTCAGTATTTCATTTTCATCTCCCGGCTCCTGACATGACCTCAGGTTTTCTGTGGCTCCAACATTTCCTGATCTCTGAGACGATTTATTTTATTTTACACTTTCAGCACCAAAATTCAGACTCCTGTCCACTCGGCCACTTCGTTTCTCCAGCATGTTATAACCACTGAAGCTAGCTTCTGATTTTACTGATCGGAGACCAACCAGCTCTGGAAAATGAGAAGAACGCTACTAGTTAGCATTAGCTTTGGGTAGCTAATGTTAGAAACAAAACGCATTTATCAGAAAATGGGCTGATATGCAGAATCTGTAACATCTTACATCAGCTGCCTTGATGAGTTTGCTGTAATCCAACGGGACGCGAAGCATCAACATGATGTATAAAACGGAGCTGAAGTTGGCTTCTGATTGGGAAAATAATACCTTAAGTTATGAAAAATTAACTTCTACTCATTTATTGTGATTATGATCACAACCGATTAATTATCTTTAACTTGTTCCAGTTTACAAACTTCAACTCTCAGACTCCTCAAACATGAAATATATCATTCTTCACTAAAGTTAGAATATTTATAGCCTTGTTTGTGATTGATGAAATGTTTATTTGTTCAGTGAAAGTTTAATACAGAATCATATTTTCACGTTCCACAAATCACAAACTAGGTTAAAAATATTCTGCTTTTAATGTTGGAAAAAAGAAAAAAGTCAGTTACGACCAAACAAACTAGACATGTTAGTTGTTAGCCTGTCCAAGGCTAACATTAGCCCAGGCAGTGCTAATGTAAGGCTATCCAGATCTAAAGCTAGCATGTCTTGCTAATAGTCAGTAGACTAAGTAGGCAATGCAGAGGGTGACCTTCCTTGGCATGCTAGTCATTAGCCTATCCAATGCTAATGCTAGTGATTAGCCTCCTTCTCATTGGCCACCGCCGGTTGTTCAGTTTCTGCCGGCCTCATTTCAGCCTGGTGACCCCAATCAATCAATCAATCAATCAATCAATCAATCAATCAATCAATCAAATTTTATTTGTATAGCACATTTCAGCAGCAAGGCATTTCAAGGTGCTTTACATAATTAAAGAAAAATAAAAGCAGCATGCGACATTGAATAAACAGTAAGAAAGAGAAAGAGATTTTGAAAAAAGAA